CAAGTTCGCCTTAAATATTAGATATTTGAGGTGAACTTAACGGCTGAACCAAGGCCAAACAAAATAAGTGTACATAAGAAACGCATGTGGAAAATGTGGTGCTTTTTCGGAATGAAATTTTATTGACTTTACTGCTAATTCACTATTATACATTTTCATAACGATTTAGGATTTGAAGGTTGCCCATCTCTATACACTCACTATCACTGAAATTTTCAGAGAGGCTTTCATCACTCCACAGTGTTCTTTGGCGAATGTTACGAAGAGGCATGCACAAAGATTATGTATTTTATCAAAAAATGGGGGTAATAAGTCAACAAGTAGTTTTCAGTAAGCAATATTTGAGAAATTAGTGCGTACATTTCTGAAATTTGATGTGCGAAATTATAATCATAAACTACTTTCATCAATGACGTACGTAATTCAAACCAACATTATAATTAGATTTATCCAGTAGTTACGTAATTTGAAACTTTTATTTTTTACTTTTGAAGCCACTTATGATTAATTAAATTGACTATGTCACCCCTTATTACTCAGTGATAGACTTCCATACATTTTTGGTAAATATCAATATGACTGTACGTCTCTGAAGATGATTTCGTCTATGGCGCAAATTTTTCTTCGCTGAATTGTCTTTTATTTTCTTCATGACTCACTGGGTATTTATGGTGAATACAATAGGTCTTGTTTTCTAATGACCATTATTTCATTCTGTAGACAATAAACCTAATATTGATGTTTCTAGTTTTATTTATTATGTATAGAATCTTATTAGGTGTAAATTACCGGTTTCTATTCTCAAATCTGCATAGGGTTACATGTATGACTTGATAACATTTGGAAAATCTAGCAGCCGAATCAAACAGTAGCTACACTTACAAATGCATACTGTCCAGGTAAGGTAGTAAACATTTGACTCTTATCGACATATGGTGGTTCTGATTTGCTTAACAGCTTAAAATGAAACCGTTTACACGTTTAATAATAACAATAATTGTAATAATAACTTTATTCCCAAACAACGATTTTGATGTAGTGTGGAATTCTCAGGCACCTATGTGCCACTAGAGGAAAACACAGACCCTAAACACCGTCGAAAGGAATTACTTTCTACTTTTATTTGGACTGGATTATTACCTAAAATACCGACCTGAATATATTGTCAGCTCACATAATTTAATTTTGCTGTGTTTCTTTCTGATCGGAATGTGAATGAAATAAATATAGTTCCTGCATCGATCTGGGTAAGAAACCCTAATATGATTATACCTCGCTACAAGATTCCGTGCGGATCGCAAACAACCTCTTTTCTTGACGGAGGACATTAGAATGAGTAGTATTAGGATGGGAAGATTTAGGGGTAAACAGGCCAAGCCATGTGATTGTGTGTCCGTTTGAGACAAGTACGACAGTGTACGCTGTATATTTGGGACCACTAGTTATTGATATTTCTTAAAATAGATCACTTAGACACAGATGCATTTGTTCTTAGTCCTTGTCTGGAAAGCGTCCCCTCCCAGCACCCCTCGTTTGATGCAATTTCATATTTTCCTACTAATGTAAGCTTTTGTGTCCGTTTGAAATTATACTTCTTTATGTGGAATTCTGTATTGGGATTTACTCAACATTCATTCAGTTAGAGATTTGGAACTTCTCAAACGAATGAAGTGGTCTGTAATCCGATTACTCCAAACCAACAACCCCACCACATGGCAGTTAGTCAACTTACAAGAACCCAGCATCAGCAAGAGTCACATCAGTTAATAGGTTTGTAATAAAATAAAATGAGAGTGAGATTGGACTTCGAACAGCACTCTTAGTCGTCATTTCAGATAACAGTTCTCCATAGGCTTATACACGGTGAAGTGATTACAAATAGAGTTCTCCAAATAGTATGAGATACCTTCTCGACGCACTGTTTACAATTATGCATCGCCACAACACCTATTCACCGACGCAGTTGAATTCCGACTTCGGGTCAAGGAATGCACGAGGTATCAGGGAAAGATAGGCACACATATATCTGTGCTTCTTGTGAATACATATGACACCAGTCTGAATTTTACCCACGTCTTTACCAAGTCTAATTTCTCCTCTGTATTGACATACAGTGTCAGATATAACACTGGTCAAGATAATTCCTTCATCTCGTTACCATATGAAAATTTGTTCCTTTCCTTTTTGGAAAGAATGGTAAGTGACTTGCAACAAACGGATTCCCATAAAATATTTAGCACCTAACGTGCACCAGTCAGTGATTGATCACAACCCTTGAACATCTCGAGAGTAAGACATTCTGATTCTGCCCCTTTTTAAATTGCAGACATTTAAGTGCAACCTAAATTATAGCTAGAGGAGGGATGTTGTTTATATCCCATTCAGTCTGGGGTTAAACGGTTGATAATTATAGTCTCGCCGCACTGCATTTCAGAGTTCTGGTTAAAGTTCCGTTCGGCATTCCTCGATAGAGATAGTTTCACATGTCATCCTTACTTAAGATATCTTTCATTAGAGATAAAAAGATTGATGGGTATTATTAAATGGCAACCCTCCTCCCACTTCCATTGTTTACGTCACACGCCATAGCTCGCTGTCGTTGCAATGAGTTTTATCCAATATAAGCTTACACAGCTCATCACTTCTCGTCTCTTCACGTCCACCAGTTCGATCTAAAGCACAGAATTATACTGTTTTAAAAAATAATTTTTGAGGGTGGGTTATCGATCATCATAAGAACTGTTTCTATAACAGAACAGATGCGACATCAAGCCTTTTTAAGACGAGTATTTTTGTCATGCTCCCATAAATTTTGAGCTAACTTCTACCTTAATATAGACTTTGTGTTTTCATCAGACAGCTGTACTCATATCTTCGTTGCTGCGTGTATTTTAAGTCTATTTAGACACCAAAGTGCATGACAGAAGCTTATGCAAGTGTTCTAGCACACACAACAATTCGCCACTGGTTTTTTAATTCAATAGCTCGACTCTAGAAGTCACCAAGTGTTACAGAGTCTTCTCTTGCTCGAAAGTTGTGTCAGTGAAGAACAGGTGAGCTAAGTCGCAGGAGAGGAACAGGGTTTGTAAGAATGTAAAACCGTAGGTAGCCCCAATACGGGTTTTCCTTAATTATAATCACTTACTAGTTTCAACAAGTCTTGGAACTTTTATTTTACCAACAAACTAGAAGACTTGGCATAAATTACATCTCTTAATCCGTCTGAATCACAGTCAGTGTATGTATATGTGGAGTCCTTATTCTTACAGACCTATTCAATCGGATAGTACACAAACTACTTCCCGAAAGAGACCAGATTACTGGGCAATGAGTTCCCTGCTCTAAAGCTTAATGTTAACCCTATGCTTAGAAGATATCCACACAACCAGTCAAAGAAGCGCATAGAATTTCGTAGACTTGTCGTATCGGTCATGACTTAGGTGTATAACTACATTTAGATCTTGTAAGACTGACTTAGAAACGCATCCAACACGCAAAGCTTACAATACCAAAGTTCCACCTACTGTCCTGCTTACCTTAGTATTTGGATATTGAAATCGTCAGGGTGAACACTGGATCGTCTTTTTACTATGAATAATATTTCTCTGGATTGATCCTTACAATGTCGACAGGTGTTTTCTCCCTCTAATTCCATTGGAGAGAGAAGACAGAATAGCTGGCTTGCTAGCGCCTAGCACAATTATTACAACCGGTATTTATTTATTTAAACGCAGAAAAAACTTGGTACAATATGGCACCAAGAAAGATGCGCCTCAGAATAGTAATAAAACAACATAGATTAAAAGTAAAAATATAAGTAGAGAACGGATAAAGAACTTCATCTGGAAGGAAAACAGTCACACTTAACAAGTTCAAACAGTATTCGTCAACTAACATCAGGAAGGGAAGAAAGAACGAAATTGCAGCACATTCGCCATTAATTACGATTCTTGGCTATATCTGATAACGTTTCGAACCATTGATTCGAGATATCTCTCGGACCCCAACATGGGAGTGGTGACGCACCAACCGATGCTAATCTAGCACAAATATGCTTCATCCCACGACGCAACGTCATGGGCTGACTAACTCTCCACCTTTTTCACCCCGTCCCAGGGCTAGCGAACAGAGACCTGTACGGAAGCCTCTGGGATGACATTCGCAGCACATGTCCAAGACACCGCAGCCGGTGTTACCGGATGACGATACTCCATTGTGTTCAAACACACGCCGCCGAATCTCAGAACTACTCACACGATGATGCCATCGAACCCAAGCAATCCTGCGAAGACAGCGATGATCGAACACGCAGAGTCGCCGCACATCCTCAGCCCACTCAGAGAGGCCAGGTCTCACAGGCGTAGAGCAAGGCAGCCCGCACCGAAGCATTGTATACCCGATCTTTGATAGCTAGGCTAACGTCGCGACGGCGCTAGAGTTGGCTCAATTTGATGTATGCCACCCTTCCGCCAGCACTCACACAACTACCCAGATACACAAACTTACCGACAACCTCAAGCGGTTCACCTGCAAGAGTGAGTGCAGGTACAGGCACCTTGCCAATCTTGTAATAGTACTTTGCACTTAGACGGCGCAAAACACATACCCCACTTACAGACACTGACCGCCAACTGATTAAGTGTGATTCGGGCAGCCTGCATGCCACCCCACAATAAGATGATATCGTCTGCATACTTGAGGTCAAAAATTCTATTTCTTCAGGTAGCAGTCATAACAAGTTAAAAAGATAATTTTGAAATCTAGTAAGTGAAGATTTTATTACAGTAGATTGACATCAACATTTTATATACATGCATAAAACAAATTTACAACAGTGGTAAAGATAAATAAATCTCAGTATTGATAGAAAAAATACAAATACATCTAGGGACGAATATAAGAAAAGACACCGGTCAACTCTTAATTTGACACTTATAATACAATACGACTGCCAATACTGTGCATATGATGACTCTAGCTGAACACATTCACTACTTCATTCATTCATTATCTAACTCCTCTTCATCCGAACTGAAAACAAGCTTAGTACGCGTACGAGTGGTACGAGCACTTTTTGCACGTGTTGTTGTAGTCGGTGGTGGTGAGCTCTCTTCGACATCAACATCTTCATCCCCACTTGGTATATTAGAAGTAACAGCTGTTCGATTAGTTACAGTACGTCGTACATTTCTGCGTATCATTTCATTCTTTCCACTAGTAGCTGGATTTGTAGAGACACGTGTGTTACGTGATGAACGTTGTTTAAGCGATTTTGCAGCAACTTCGGCTCTTCGAACTGCTGCCTCATCAGCAACACCTTTATCATGTAACTTGAAAAGTAAGGGGGGGGGAAGAGAAGAAAACGAAAAATAACATAAATTCAGTAGGATAAAGATTTATATCGAAATGAGATTAAACAAGGTACACGTTAATTCCTTTCCTATTTATCCTCTGCTATAAAAATTAATAAAATGGACGCACAGATTCAGTTCGAAAGTTTATATACCCAAACGGAAGGCCTAACCTAACCCCCTCATCAACGGAAGATGTTGAAAGACTCAAATCAACACTGGTCGATTGTTACTATTATTACCTGAACAGTAAACGCAATTCGTATAGTAGTAACACAGAGAAGCTCTGGATAACCTACGCAAAAATCAAAATATAATAATAACAAAACCGGATAAGGGTTCAGGAGTGGTTATCATGAACAAAACGGATTACTTCGAGAAGATGAATACCATTCGCAATAATAATCAAAAATTCCAAAAAATTTCCTCTTCTCTAGATCCGATTGAAAGGATAGAGAAACAGCTGACGGAAACATTGAAGCGACTGAAACCAACAAGGGTTCATCTCACAAGGTCAGTACACATCCCTTAAACCCACTGGGACTTTTACACCAAGACTATAATGGCTCGCCTAAAGTGCACAAAGATGGTGTACCGCTTCGACCAGTGTTAGATATGTTAAATTCTCCATACCATCCTGTAGCCAAATGGCTAGTCGAAATCTTACAGCCGCTTCAAACTGAGTTAGTGAAACACAGTGTAAAGGATACTTTCGGATTTGTGGGAAGGATAAAAGATTTAAATGTTGACAATAAATTCATGATATCATTTGACGTATCTTCCTTATTCACCAATGTACCATTTATGGAAACAGTGGATTTTGTATGCGAAGAACTTAAACGACGAAACATCAATGTCGGCATTCCTATATCATTTGTGAAAGAGCTTCTCTTGAAATGTACAATGAATGTCCACTTTTTATTTAATAAGGAACTATATAGACAAATTGACGGTGTGGCAATGGGGTCACCACTAGGACCCATTCTAGTCGACATTTTCCTTGCGAAACTAGAAAATGGGCCTCTGAAGGATGTTATTAGTGAACTCGAATTTTATTGTCGGTACATGGATGGTACTTTTTTGATTATGAAAAACGAGAAGGAAGCAAAGAGCATCCTGGATAAGTTTAATGAGGTATATCCTGCAATAAATTTTACCATCGAGACAGAAAAAGAATCTAGTATTCCATTTTTAGACGTCTTTATGACCAGAAAAGAGGATGGCACAATAAGAAGAAGTGTTTATAGAAAACCTACATCAACGGGCCAGTACACACATTTTCTCAGTTTTGTGCCCTTGAAATACAAACGCAATTTGATAAAGCGCCTGGTTCACAGAGTAAGAGCGATTTGCTCGGACGAATGTCTTGATGAAGAACTGAATAATATTAAACGGTTGCTAAGTGAGAATGGTTATCCTGAAAAGTTTATTGGTAAGAATATGAATTTGAAACTAAAGCAGCCGAAGTTACCAACAGTTCCAAAAAAGGCCTTATTCTTTCAGATGCAGTTCCTTGGGGACAACACTAGCGAGATACTAACACAGCGCATGAGAAATGCGGTAAAACGAGCATTCCCTGCTGCTGAATTACGTTGTATCTTTAAGATCACTCCTCTTCTGCGTTCGGGAGTGAAAGACAAACTGCCTAATCTCGCCTCATCCATGTGTATCTACCAATTTAACTGCTCCTGTGGAGTGAGCCAGTTACATAGGCCGCACAATTAGGCGTGTTTCTCGTCGAATTTCCGAACATCACCCTGCGTGGTTAAGCAAAGGCCAAACAAAATCTATTCGTAGCGCTATTCTGGCTCATCTTGTGGATACAGAACATAAGATTGATGTTAACCAGGCTTTTAGAGTTATTTACCGGACACCAAAAAATCTAAACTCCGCCTTAAGAGTTCGATTACTAAATATTGCTGAGGCTGTTGGGATCCACATTAAAAAGCCTAATTTGTGCGTCCAAAAGTAGTTAAGACGCTGTCCTTACCCTGGCCATCTAGGTTTGAATGATTCTCAATTTTCGTGGAAATTTCCTAATTTTACTTGATATTCTACTCGCTATTATATCTTTATTACTACTATAATTTAAGTATCTTTAGTGAACTGTAATTGCATTGATCATACTTTACAAATCGATATTATTTAGAAAACACTAATATTGTTATTAATTACCAACCTTGAATATTCTATGTATATAAACATATGATATAATTGTAGAGCCAGAAGAGGAATTCATCGAAAAGAATATTCTTTGCTCGATTATTTTGTGTTTTATAGATATCTGAATGAATACTTTTGCTATATTAAAATCTTTCCTTTGTGTTCAACTTTATACTACTTATTCCTCTAGTAAGTAGTATGGATTATTATTTGTTGTTTCTTAAGTATGACATTGCTCGCTTAATGCATTCATACACTATTTAATGTATAGTATATATTTCCTCATGGCTGCACATTATCATCTTTTTGTATATGCCTTATTTATGTGTCCTTTACTGCTGAATATTGTTTATTCTTATCGTTTTATTCAGTGTCAGGCATTCGCGCGCTGTTTAAATCTACGCGTGGGTCGCTTTTTGATACAGTTTTGCTGTTTTACTTACGGACGCACACTGTTTGTGCTGTTGATGGCGTTCAGCCACAGGCACCATTGTATATTATATACTACTATTTCACGTTTAATATAGTACGATGTTCTAGACAAATCCAGTGTTTTTTTTGGGGGGGGGGATTTTACGCGTCACTCGACGTGTCATTGGAATAATCGTTCCGGATTTCTTTTGCACTTTTATGCTGTCATGAATAGAGAGAGAGAAAGCGAGGGAGAGAGATGTTAGGATTCATGAATGGACTTACTTCCTTTACTTTAGCTTCAAACTCTTCTAGTGTAGCCATTGCATCTGGTTTAATTAACTTTTTCACATTAATTATGATACACTCGAATGCAGCATACACTTCATTAATGCATAGCTTATCAGCAAAAGCAGGTAGATTTTCGTATAACACTTTCATCATTCGTTCACTGAACGGCATAACATTTAAACAAAAGGCTAAGTCACGCCATTGACGTTCTAATCTGAAAAAGAGAACAACAAACGCACACAAAACAAAAGTGTGTTGTTATTTCATCGATTAGATTGGTGCATTATTAGTGGTGGTCTAGAGACTGCATGCAGTCGAGGTTCAATTTAACAGTGGCCGATACATTCATAAACTTTGTGTCTGGTATGTACTGACAGGCGATGATGAAACCGGGAAAAAGAACAAGGACAATTGGGAGTAAACACAACGCAACTGCTACTAGAGCTTCAAAAGTTTGCGGCTTTATGTAATGGATGAAAAATAAGTAGGTCGGATATTCTTGTCAGTAGTGATATCTACATGCTTTGTTAGTACAGAGGGTTGAATTACACCATTAAGTAACTGATCAGAGACACGCTCCTTTCATCATGATCTCTCTGTCTACTCACCAACACTGTCTGCCTGTCTGTTTTCGACATAGAACTTTGCACCGATGTGCACCAGTTCGAGTCGCCCCACTTCACTTAGCACACAAAGCAAGAGAAGAAAGTAAAAAGAAATGCAAAAAAGAGACAGTAAACAGAGATATGAGGCAAAAAGAATAGTAGTATCGAAGGACAACATAGTTTTATTGGGTATTATAAGTCACAAGGAGTGGATGTATGTGCACCAACCATTGAGAACGATTTTGAGCCATATCACCGATTGTTTCCAGACATTGGTTTTTATCGTCCAGAGGACCCAAATCAGGAAGTCTACACCTTCCTACGCGATAGGCTTAAACTAACTGTTGTGGATTTCATTGACTGATGACACCATGTTTTGGTCTGCCCACCACTGGCTCTTTTCCAACCTCATCCCTCCTATGTCACCTAACATTGCCCGTCAATTGAGGAAGGAGATGACTAGGCATGCGTAAAACATGTCCTAACTATTTCAGTCGATGTAGCTTCCTTACCTAGCACTCGACTGATGCCTAACCTCAATATTGCTCGTCCTATTATGCCACTTAACATGGGAGATACAACGCAGACACCTATGATGAAAGACAGCTAGCCGGCCTTCTCATGTTCCCCACTCTTAATAGCTAGGTCTCACAACCAGCCATAAAAGAGAACGGAGCGGACTGCTGAGCAGTACACACTTCCTTTGGTCGATAGCCGGATATCACGTCTACACCAGAAACGGCGTAAACCGGCAACTAAAAGCAAATTATGCCGTCAACTCAGTAACCTAAATCAACCATATTCAACAAATATCATAGTGCTAGCTGCATCCGTCTGTCTGTCTGTCTGTTTTCGACATAGAACTTTGCACAAATGTGCGGAAGTTCAAGTCGCCACATTCCGTGTAGCACGCGAAGCAAGAGAAGAAAGTACAAGAAAAGCATAATAGAAACAGTGAGCAGAGGTGTGAGACAAAGGAGTAATAAAGAAATACAAAACAGTTTCATTGAAGATCATAAGTCACAGGGAGTGGATGCATCTACGCCACTGAGAACGATTTTGAGCCATGTCACCAATTGTTTCCAACCATAGATTTTTACCGTCCCGAGGACCCCAGCCTGGAAGTCTACACCTTTCTACGTGGCTTAGACCAACTGTTGTGGATTTCATTGACTGATGCCAAGTTTTTGTTTGACCGCCGCTAGCTTTTTTCCAGCCTGACCCTATATCCGCTAACATAGCTCGTCGAGGGAGGCGATGGCTTGGCATACGTAACACATGTCCTAACCATCTCAGTCTTTGTAGCTTCACGACTTCGTCGATTGATTTCCCCTGTTTACCTAGAACTCTACGCTAGCTGCATCCAGACACGGAGGTGAATGGAGCATATATATATATATATATATATATATATATGGATGCAAGTTAGGTCACCGAGATTGTTTCATGAAGATTATAACCTGTGTTGAATTCATGGAACTGCAATTAACTGTCGATACCACTCGTGAGTACAAGGCAACTACTTATATTTCTGGAGTACTTATCTAAACTTTGGTCTGGCTTTACTTAGTGTGCACCAGACATTTCACAACAGTCGTCATAATCACTATCCTAAACTTATTACCACTACTTGTAAGGAGACACCGTTGAGTGACATTATGCACCAGGCTCTCACTTAAGTAGGACCCGAATGGGAGACAACAAGTTCGACGTCCGAGAGTGACATGGAGGAGAAGGAGATGAAGACCTACAGGCAATAGTGGAGTCAGCTTAGGAGTTTCAGTAGCAGGTGTATTTTAACTCCATTGTAGATAAGATTTTTATTTTGATATATCACACAGTGTTATACAGTAATATTAACTGATGACCACCTTTCGAGCACAAACCATTGCTACTCATAACCATATCAGCGTACTCACACTTTTTTCCTTTATTTATATGCATGAGTGAAACTGACTAGATATTTGAATAAAACTTAATATGGGATAATGTACATTGAGAAATAATAATATGAGTGTTATTGATCAATTACAATCACATGGGAAATACGAGTGTTTTTATAGTCATAATAAGTAACTTGTTAGGATGTTGTGATGTGCTTGAGTTGAAATAGAACTTTGAGATTATTAATTGTCCTCTTCTGATTTGACTGGTGGTAATAATATCTTCCATATTTCTGGTATTTGCATTGAGTCATTTCTGTTGCATGTGTTGGGTGTAGACTCAATGAACCAGGCAGGATTCAGTAATCAATCTTTCTCTGTGTGGTTGTGTGTTAATGCATGTAGTGCATGTAGTGCTGAGTTCTTTTCTAAATTACTTATCTTCTCGGAGTCAATCATTCTTCCCCTTAGCTGAATTCTTAAGTTCTGACAATCTGACTACCCCCGACCTACTAGTTTGACCTCACTCACAGTCATTGCAAGGCATTTTGTAAATTATAGTATTTTGTCTAATTCGGTCCACCGGGTCTTTTAGCCTACGGAGCTTGTCTCTGAGTGAGTTGACACTGTGACTATAACACTATGTGATTTATCAAAATAAAATCTTATCCATAATGGAGTTATATACTCTACCACAATGTCCAAGTTTTACACATATATCTGTGATATTTTACTTTTACGGCGGAAAGGTGTTGGTAATCCCACGCTTAACCTTCCCGTCGTTTCCCAGCCTACGGCTACCAGCTTGGCAAGGTCAGTAGGGAATCCAACCCCAGATCACATGAGTGGTAGTTGACCAGCATTCCCCCCCACTGACACATATTTCGAGGAGTAAGGGTATTTTATATAGCTGAATATCATTCATCAGAATACAATAAATTTTCTAAGACATTAAATCAAGACCACTCACGAAAACTACAAAAAATCTCCATAATATAACAGTCAATATATGTATGTATAGGTAAGACACAGCAATGACTTACGTAGTAGTTCGAAATCTGGAGCAAAGTTTTTCAACTAAAGTTTCGCATAGACGTTCTTTTACAATTAAAGGAATAAGAAATCTAAAAAGTAAAAATTATTGAACAGAACAATCAAACATTATATGTATATATGCACGATAATATAGGACAAAACTTGAGCAAATCTGAAAGAATAACAACAATATGTCAAAGGTAAAGAATAGATACCCACAAACGAACGAACGAATGCACTGATAACCTTGTGACGCTCAATCACAGAGTAACGCAGTGCAGCCACGTTAAGTAACACTAAATTCAATTCAAGGAAGGAAGTGTAAGAACCGGACACTGAGTTAGCCAAAGACTACTTTAGGGAGAGATTAGGGATAGGAGGATAGGTACAAACAGTTGACGAGTTCCGAATAGGACGAGATGTGCATCCTGTATTCCATTGATAGCCACCACTCCCCCACCTTACTTGAAGTTATTCATCAGACATTGTCAAAGCGTCCGTAATAGGAGTCGACATGTCAACTCAGGCCGAACAACATTTCAGTCCAATCAATTAATGGACAAACAGAAATTAAATCAAAATAGGGGAAATTCAGTTCCCCTAGAACCAGCAGCCATTGAACTCACACTAAGATTTAGATTATCCTACCAACTGAAATCACTTCTGAATGAGCATGACTGACGTTTATTACATTTCATTGATTTATTCAGATTAACCCATTTATTTAAAAAAAGTTAACTACAATTCACCATAACCATAACAGTATGTGTTCAAAAGCAGTGAGCCGCCACACTTGTCTGTGTGCATCCTATTAGAGGGCAGGTTGAACTTTAAGCAACAAAGGAGTGCGACCGCACTAATGACCACATTGGAGCGCTCACTGAGCAAATTAGTGAAATCAGACAAATAACACTATAATTATGAATAAAATATTAGGCTTAATGCCATGTTATGATATCAGACGAAATATCTGGTAAGTTTTAGGTTAGATTTGTGGAAGATTAAGTTAAGTTTTATGCTAAGGACAAGGTTAGGGTTGAGCTAACGTAAAAATGGAAATATCACGGTTGGTTCGAGTTCGAATAGAATATGATGGAAGTCATTTTTGTCACGTATCAAAAAAATGACGCCTGTGGAACAGTTCACATAACACTTAATCCATAATTTTCATGAATAATATATATATATATATTATATGTAGAAGTCCTTTTTCATGTGATTGGCACGCTCAAGTTTATTAGTGCAGTCACACTCCTTCCTTAGGTGCTTAACAGTTTAATTTCACCGGCCAGTAATTACTATCTAGTGGACAAGGCTGAATTAGACAGGATTCAAAATTTCGCGGGTGATTTACAATCGATCGAAAGTTAAGTGTAAAAAAGTCAATAAACCATATTTCACTGTTAGTTAATATTGGTAGGAGTTAGCTTGTAGGGATTTGAATTGTTTCCATTTTCAACACAGATTGATATCAGCTTAGGGATCATTGAAAACCAGTAAGGAGTACTAGACAGCCAGCTGTTTCGTCCTAGTTTGGAACTCATCATCAGTACAGACCCACCCACCGCCAGGGTTCGAGCCCAGGATGAGTCCCAAACTAGGACAAAATATGTGAACAGTACTCCCTGTTGGTTTTCAATGATCCTCTAACTGATATCAATCCGTGAGCCCACTTCAAACATAAACTTATGTTACAAAAAAGTGTTCAGATTAGCAGCTCATCCAATGTTACGGCTATACAATATCCATAAAGTTATTATAAAAAAAAAAGAAATTGTATTACTTATACGAAACTTACTCCATAATTGATCGAAAATGCTCTTCTGATACACCAATATTAGGATCACTTAATCGACTGATAATATCTGGTACAACATTGTATAGAGCATTGCCTTTCTGTGATAATTCACGAAAGAATCGACGTGCTAAAATATTTAAACGTTCAATTTCATCTACTAGACAAACAGTCATTTCACTAATTTGACCTTTAACCTAAACAGAACAAGAAAGACAGAAACAAAAAGAAAAACACTGTCAGTAAAGTTACATGGTGTGATTATTATTTAAAAGTTACGAACTGTACCTGGTTAATCAAGAAAAAGTTTATCACTAAAGAAAGATAATAAGAATGTCGATGAAAGTTCTATCTAAAACCAAAAAAAACAAACGAAAACTAGCTATTTAGTGGTGGAAAGGTACAATACGCAAAACAATTTCCACAATAACATTGATATTCTATTATTCATTGAGAACTGCCTGCAGCTGAAAAGTCCAAAAATGGGACGAAACAATGTCAAGTATTTTCTGGTTCCACAATAGTTCTCTTACTGGTGTCAATACGTAATCAACCAAATCACTTTAAATCTACACATGAAAATTATTATTGATGTTCACCAATAACCGGCTCTATGCAGGAAGTTACCTGGAGCTGTTAGTGAGAAGTCGTAAATGTAAGTGTAGAACTTGGGCACTATGGTGTAGAATGAAATTCCATATTGGATGAGTTTATTTTAAATATTACACCTAGTGATGATGCAGTATTAACGACTAGATGACAAGGTTTCGAGCATAAATTATTCCTGCTCATAATCATATCACAGTTTAGTCAAACACTTTCACATTTTGTCTTATATATATATTGTCTCTCTTTCTGTCTTTTCATCTCCCCTTTGTTGTTTGTTGCCACTTGCCATATCTCCGGTATAGGCGTTGCGTCATTCACTGTCTCTCCCACTTAACTATATTACTTCTGAATACTACTCTTACAGTGTCCCACCTACTCTATTTTGTGATTACATGCAAGTGAATGCAGTGCAATGCAATAGCTGAGCTTTTTTCTGAGTTACTTAACTTAGCAGGGTCAATTATTCTACGTTGAGCTAAATTTTTATGTTCCAAAAATCTAGTTGACCTCGATTTACTCGCAGTCATTACATGGTATTTGGTAAATTATATTGTCTTTCTTAATAGAATCTATCGGGTCCTTAAGCCGACAAAGTTTATCTCTGAGAGAGTTGGTTGGTTGGTTTAAATGGCACCCTAATTTTACCCTCATTGAGAATCCTACTCAAGGTGTTGCTTCTTTACACGGCAGCACTACAGAGGCTTTGAATTCTATATTATTTTTTATCACTTTTATTGCTAATTTTAGTTCCTCTATGGTTTTTCATATATTTCTGAATAAATTCTGGTGGGTAGTTATTCTTTAGTAATGAGAAGTTGTAAATAGTGACGTCAACCAAGTCAGGTAAGAGACCAATTAATCGCCTATGACATCAGCTTGCGGCTGCGCTATATATATAGAAAGAATAAGTGGAAGCTAGGATTCATGAGTCATTGAACCGAGTCCCAGTGGCTGAATGGTCTATGCGCTCGCCTTGTAACCGAAATGTCCTGGGCTCGAGACCCAGTGGGAGCGTACTGATGAACAATTCCAAACTAGGGTAAAACAGCTGTCCAGTACTCCCAGGTGCTCTAACTAATTGTCAGTTCGCGGTCAAAACTGTTACTAATCAAATCACTGTAAACCAACGTAGATGATCTAACCAGAGACTGGATCCCAGCTAGTGCAATACACTTGTACCTCATGGTTACTCCATTCGGTCCCCATTGGAACATACATACACACATAGGACAGTAATATCAGACACGGAACAAAAAATATGACAAACCGTAAAGTGTGTATTAAATCCCATGGAATAGCGGCCGATGGATGGAGTAATAATTTCACTGCAAATAGGATAAACTGTAGTACAGTGCAATGCATCTGAGAAATCCAGTAGTACAACCTTATGCACTAGACGACAAGTCATACTTTCTAAATGAGAGCTAATTCATTTTATGCAGTGGATTGAGTAGCAGTTGAAATCATGGATCCAACTGCTTTAAAGTTAAATATCTGTACTGTCTGCATAAATAAGGAAGGTTAGAGGCGAATGGCAAGAAGCTCTTGACCTAGGCTTCGTGCCTGTTAACACCAAAAAATATAGCCAATAATCAATTACAGAGAGAGAGAGAGAGAGAGAGTATGCATAATTTACTTACTTTGACCATATCATTTAAAATTAAATGACTCAGTGTATTTAAAGCATTAGTACGAACTTTAGCTGACGTATCACGTAATCGTGCATACAAATTTGGTGTCCATGGTTCAATAAGATTTGGAAATCGACGACATAAATCCCCCAAGGCTACAATTAGATTAGCTCTTACTATTTCTGATTGACTTCTTTCAGCCATTGTAAATAATAACTGAAGACGTGGTTCACAGACTTCAGCACTGACAAGCATCATTTTAGCTAATGCCAGACTAGCTGATGCCTAAAATAAAGCAACATAAATAAAAACAAACTTATAATCATAGTAAAAAAGTTTATTCTTAAAAAAGAGGCAAAAACATAGGCATGTAGGAAACTATATACTACTAATGATTGATTGAAATGAGTAGTCATATACTACTCATATCAACCAGTAGTGACGATGCCCAGCAGTGCTACGTGTGCTTTTGGAAGAGTGTGGGCAGTTGTTATTTCCCAGCTGCCCACACCATGGAAGTTGGTTGATTCTTCAGGTACCTGAAACAGAAAGAGAGTTAGTGTTGCGTGACCACAGAGCCCAAGGGACAACTGCTTGAGGCCAGTCACACATGGCCTGTCTGAACTGGCTTTTTGTTTTGATTCCGTCTTAGTAAATTTACTGCCAGTTACGGACCTCTGTAGGGTAAGTTGGGATGTGCAATTTTTGAGGTCGACCCTCTCTGTCACCAGAGTGGAGAGACAGCATAGCTGGCCGGCACGTGGTCGTCTGAGGGAAACACCTTACTGATATTAAATCCCTGTTCCTCAGCAGTATGACTTTGCTCCCAGACCCCCAGCATAGTTTTTAAAAATGCTTGCACTATGCCGGTAGCTGCTTTTAGTCTAATCACTATCCTAACAACCTTCCTGCCATGGTAGGACCTGCAGAAACAACACAGATCCAACCAGTGTAGCTTGATGGGTCATGGCAATGTGCAAGCCCGACCACCATTTCAAGGTAGCAGCTATCGGTCGGGATCAACCAGTAGTGTTTGCTAGCCAGTCAGATCGAAGTGATATTAGCACCTAAGAGTCGTTCCGCTCGTTTGGAGCCGAGCGCATCAGCACTGTATGTGGTTTGACAGAGCTCAGAAAGTCGAATAATTTCAAACCACCTGATTTCTGACTAGCCACGTGGGCTAACTGATAACGCCAAAAACCAAATTAAGAGTTTGCAACATACACAAGTTCGAGAGGTGAAACTTTCACCACACTTCCATTTGGAAACCAAATTATCCAGATCATGATATGTGATCTGACTAAGACTACAAATGGTAATCAAGGAAGTAAGCATATTCACATAAAAATGTATACTACTGATTAATCGAGATGAGTAGTTATATAACACCCATATCAACCGGTGGCGCCTGCTAGCCAGATCCAGTTGAATTGAATACCGAACAATCGTAAAGCTCATTTGGGATCGGAGTGATGAAAACAGTTACAATGCTGATGAGTTCGACCCCAAACGAGCGAAAAGACGGCCTGCTATTGTTGAGATCCCTTTCCTGTGGCTAGTAAGCAGGTGAGTGGTATACAACTACTTAATTCAATCAATCAGTAGTACATAGTTTCCTGCATTTAAAAAAAAATATAGGTTGATTCCACACAGCAGTTTTCGTACAACTATGGGATCTTCAGCATGAGATATCGGTAGCCCAAATTTAACCGGCTGACCATTGATATTAGGTGTTTGTCAGTGGCCGGGGATCGAACCCCAGACCATGTGCATGGTCGGCTAGCGTCCACCGACGCTTGCTTTCTTGATTACCGTTTCTCGTTTATCAAGCAGACCGCAGATATTGTGATCAAAAAAGGCAACTTACTTGGACAGTTTCATCTGAGAATGTGGATGGATGTGAACAAACATAGGTGACAAAATTTAACATATGATGTAGGATAAGATCCGGTGACTTGAGTAACTCTTCATCGCATATTTCACGTATATACTCAGCTTCTGCATCATCAGCGGCTACACCGACTAAACCGCAATCTTCGTCAACAGTTGACTGACCACTTGTTGCTGAAGCATTTCCAGATTGTTCAGTCATTGACACCTTTTTCACAAGGAAAACATAAAAGAAGATTCAAGTATGCATAATATGGTTATTCTACATGTATAAACGAAAATACTGTCAGTAGTTAAAAGTTATAGACTATGAGATTTGAACTCACTGTCAGAATGGTAGTCTGACAGATCATCTTCCCATTGTCGTAGGTGTGTTTCGTTGAAAATTAGTTCCAAACAAAGATGAAATGTTAGATTTTTTCAAGAACCAGTTATTCAAAACCGTAGAGGGAACACTAGACAGCTGTTTCCTCCTATTTAGGAACTATTCAGAAGTGGACCACCAGAGTTCGAACCTGGGACTTTCAGGTTACCAGACTAAGCACGTTAACGACCATTTATTCAGCCATTAGGACTGGGTTTCAATGACCCCTGAATCCTAACATCGTCGATTTGTAATATAGCGTTAACCTCAAGCAATGTCCTAGACGAGAATCCACGTCAACTTGATATGGTGGGCACTTATAGCCACGACTCTCTACTGCAGCTACAGGAAGTCCATTGAAGGTAGCTATCGATCGGTGGTTGGAAGCAATCAACAGGAAGTCTTGGACCTAGGTTTCGTGCTAGTTGGCACTCACCAACAAGGCGTATCTGCAACCTTGAAGGAACCATCTAATACCAACAATTCACAGTGCACCGTATTGGTGAGCCACCTAGCATGGTGACCACATTGCAAGCATCACCGATAGAATTCAGTCTGCAGTGCAGATAGGACTAGACACATTACACTAGTTACTGACTAGTGCGCAATGCAAAATATCCAATACAGTCCTACAGGAGGTCAATCGCAAGCCTGAATAGCTCAGTGGTAACGTCTTTGACTGCAGCACTGGGTGACGCGGGTTCGAATCTCAGAAGGGACATGAGTTCCTTCAAGGTTTCAGATACGCCTTCGTGACTGGTGAGTGCAATCTAGCACGAAACTTAGGTCCTACGCTTCATGCCGATTGCCTCCAACCATCTAATACCAATATGTATGGAGTTTTCGGTTGGTGAAACTTCCACCAATTATTGATCATATTCAAAATCTTTAACGTTCACACAATTCTTGAATTGTATTTCTCTTTTAAACCCTCATTATGCTTATATTGCTTTCGATGTGTGTTTATACTAATTTCTCCGTTATGTGCTATCACAGATTCACTTTCACATTGGATTGTATTCTTGTAACAGTATAGAAAACTGAGCGAAGAAATATACTCCTTTTCAATTAGTTCTTCATAATGGGTTCTATACTAACATATAGTTTTTTTTACATCAGAAATTGTACCAATCATGAAGTTATTTCAGTCAATAAGAATTATCAGTTTTAGGTATAGGAGGTGATAGGTGGGTGGGGGTGGATTTAAAATAAGAGATTACAATCACCAAGACAAATAATTGCATCAGTGGCACAGCGGTAGAATGCTCGCCAACCACGGCCTCTCGTGGGTCGGGGTTCGATCCCCGACCGACACACTCCACCTTTATCTCGCTAAGCCATTAATAATAAGATTGGCAAGGAGAGAAAGTTGATCATGAGGCTGGCTAGCAACCCCATCCCGTAAAGATAAACACCACTTCTACCGATTCAAGATCGACTGATTTAGTAGGGGGTTAGCAATGAATGAATTATTATTACATAATCAAAAGGGTTATAAAATAGTGATGACCAATCAGAATAACGTAAGGAGTCCATGATACGAACAAGTTAACTGAATTAGCTGAAACTGTAATCATAATGAGATAAGTAAGTTAAAAGATAGTTTTACAAGGGTAGAGGGAAACTGTTTATAAAAACTTAGTAGCTGACTACAGCAAAGAAAAAGGATACACTAATTTATTTCCAACACAGACATTCGGCCTGTTCAGATGGATTCCGATTGCTTCTACTGTGTATAAAAGTCGTACTCGTAGAGCAGCTGGAAGGTTAGAGTCATAGAGTGAAAAAACAGATTCCAATGTCTGGCGCTTATAATCAAACAGGTGGACATGCTGGTCTACCACCTAGTTAGGGGAGTTAAGAAAGCCTTGATTCTAAACCGATGGTGTATACATGGTCTTTAGAATCCAAATGATCCAATGGCGCATTTATTTATTTTGGACACTGGAAAGTAATGCGAATGCAACCCATGATGCTAATCCATTGTGTCTTGTGGGTTAAACTTCAGCAAAATGTCTAGAGAGGAGGAGGAGGAGGAGGTGGCCCCCTTGGGACAACCCACTGTTACGGTCTGTATAGTGCAGCATCTCTTAGTGCCCATAACTGTAATAGAAAACGAAAACTTACTCTTGACGTTCTCGTGATTTTACGTGATGATTTTGATTTATGCTTTGAATTTCTATCCTCTTTAATTGATGCTCGACGTTTCAATTCAGTTAATACAGCTGATTCTAAAAAGATAAGTTGTTTCAGTGTGATATGACCAATAAGAGCTAAAAATCTCGATAGTAAATATGTTGGTACATTAACAGCAACAATACTGGCGGCTAATTCTGGATCTGATTTCATCTGAGATGAGGATGGTGGTTCTTGGTGGTGGTGGGATATTCTCTTGTTCAACATCATTTCCTAACATTTTTTCATCAGTTGGTTGGCTATTAATAACAATGTTGGTTGTCATTTCATTTGATGGATTTGAATTGGTTTGACTCATGGTGGTTGCTGGTGACTTAAACTGGACTAGCTTTTCTGCAACTGAACGTAGTAGATAACACATAATTGAATCAGGGGTTTCAGCCATATCATAAATTACACCAATCGCCTTAAAAGAAAGAAAGAAAGAAAATCAGGTTATTAGGAACACAGTTTGAAAAACATGCTCTCACTTTCTTCATGCAACTTATTACTATCATTATGATTCATGAAAATATCACAGACAATGTTCCAGTGTTTGCAACATCCATGAACATCTATATATCAGTTCACTTGGGAGTTCACAGAGGAGCTAAGTACATAGACCGTACCAGTAGGATACTGTCTAGATGTGCGTGCACAAGAACATCTGTTCATACAACTACCAAGAAAAGAAGTTAGATGAATCAATAGCTTAATTCTTGGTACAGGCAGGTCACTATAAAGGATTCCAGCGACATCTTCTTTCCACAGCAGAAGTTGTTGCTATTATTCAGGAGGAGAATCCTGTATAGGAACAATTTGTTTGAGACCTTTGACTACCGTCGTCTTTTTGACATTTTCTTCTGCGTCTTTCTTTTCAAATTTCGGGATACTTAACTCTGAATGAACAATGTTCTTGTTTCTAGGCGCTTGATGTTTTAATGGTGATCTACGAAAATTTGTCTAGTTTGGTGAGAAAGGCTAAACGCTCAGACATAGTCGTTCTAGCTGGTGACTTTAACGCTCAAGTAGGGAAATTGTGTCAATCTGAGAAGGATGTCGGTGGCACCTATGGAGTTCCGTGCCAGCGAACCGACAACGGTGACCGTCTCCTACAGTTCTGCTCTGATAATCATTTGTTTCTTGTAAGCACTAACTTCAAACACAAGGAGAGACACTGTTTGACTTGGAGACCCCCTTCATCAAACCAACGCTGGACACAAATAGACCACATAGCAATAAGCTATCGTTGGCGTGGGTCGGTAGGAGATTGTCGCTCCTTCTGGAACACGTGCGTAGATACCGACCATGCACTGGTCCGCGCTCGGGTGTGCTTACGACTGAACGGACGTAGGAAACAGCTGGCGGTAAAACCATCACGTCCCCAGCTCGATCAGGAAACTAAATCCGTATTTCAGGAAGAACTAGCTAAACACATATCTGTGTTCGACAGCTGTGCTCACCCTGAAGAAGCTTGGAAAAATATCCAGGCAGCCATAGATACAGCTGTAAAAGCTGTGAATAAGGTAAACCCAAAGGTGAGTAAAAACCACTGGATCTCCACCGCCTCATCCGAACTGATAGATGCTAGAAGACTTATTCCGGCGAGCTCCGAATTCAATGAGGAGCGAAAGCTGCACAAGAGGAAACTTACGAAAAGTCTCCGCAAGGACCGTGAACAGTGGTGGGCGACAAAAGCCAAAGAGATGGAGAAAGCTTTGAGGATAGGCAACACCAGGCAACTCTTTGGACTCATCAGGGAAACGGGTGGGAGAAGACAAATCATTAGTGAGACAATCTCGGAAAAAAATGGCACTATAATTAGCTCACAGGATAGACGACTGGATCGTTGGAAAGAGCATTATGAGGAGCAGTTTAATTTGCCCACAGCCACGCTCAACCTTCCGAGCATCCAACACCTCCCTGAATGGGATATAGACACAGGTCCTCCGTCACTAACTGAGGTTACTAAAGCTGTCACCAATCTGAAACTAGGCAAAGCAGCGGGACCTGATGGAATGACGCCAGAGGTATTTAAGTACGGTGGAGACAGCTTACTGTCCGGATTAACTGAGGTACTAGGCAGCGTCTGGGAATCAGAAGAAGTCCCATCGGGTTGGTGTAAGTCACTGATTATCCCCATATACAAGAAGGGAGACAAGTCTTCCTGTGATAATCACAGAGGGATTAGCTTGACTAATATAGTATCTAAAGTCTTAGGCTCAATAATCATGCGTAGACTGAGTGGTGCTCGGGAAGCACAAACACGAGAGAGCCAGGCAGGCTTTAGACCAGGAAGAGGGTGTATTGATCATATCTTCACCCTCCGACAGATTCTAGAACATAGGCATTCCTACCGGCGTCCAACAGTCATTATATTTCTTGACCTAAAGGCAGCATTCGACTCTGTCGATCGGGAAGTTCTCTGGAGATGCTTGGCTGTAAAGGGAATTCCAAGAAAATATATTGCACTGATTAAGGCACTCTATTCGTACTCATACAGCCAGGTGAGGGCTTACGGCGAGCTGTCATCTGAACTGATGACGACCAGTGGTGTCCGTCAAGGATGCCCATTATCTCCTTTTCTATTCAACTTCATCATAGATGTGTTAATGGACTTAACCCTAGGTGACTTCAGCGACTCAGGGATTGACTTGCTACCGGGAATAATCTCGTTGACTTGGAATATGCAGACGATATAGTCCTTCTAGGCGAAGACGCTGACGAAATGCAGAGTCTTCTAAACACCTTGAGCCGCAATCTACGAATGTTTGGCATGCGATTCGCTCCCGCCAAATGCAAGATGATGTTACAGGACTGGACTACATCGACGCCTAGTTTAAAAATAGGAAGTGAAGTGGTAGAGCACGTTGACCGCTTCACTTATTTGGGAAGTACCATCAGCCCCAACGGGCTGATCTCTGACGAAATCTCAGCACGAATACAAGGGGCTCGTTTCGCATTTGTTAGTTTACGCCGACTCTGGCGTAGACGAGATGTTCGACTATCGACCAAAGGGCGGGTGTACTGCTCATCAGTCCGCTCCGTCCTCCTTTATGGTTGTGAGACCTGGCCACTGAGAGTGGAAGACATGAAAAGACTAGCTGTCTTTGATCATAGGTGCCTGCGTTCTATTTCCCGTGTAAAGTGGCATAATAAGGTGAGCAACATGGAGGTTAGGCGTAGAGTTCTAGGTAAACAGGGGAAATCAATCGACGAAGTCGTGAAGCTACAAAGACTGAGATGGTTAGGACATGTGTTACGTATGCCAAGCCATCGCCTCCCTCGACGAGCAATGTTAGCGGATATAGGGTCAGGCTGGAAAAAAGCTAGCGGCGGTCAAACAAAAACTTGGCATCAGTCAATGAAATCCACAACAGTTGGTCTAAGCCACGTAGGAAGGTGTAGACTTCCAGGCTGGGGTCCTCGGGACGGTAAAAATCTATGGTTGGAAACAATTGGTGACATGGCTCAAAATCGTTCTCAGTGGCGCAGATGCATCCACTCCCTGTGACTTATGATCTTCAATGAAACTGTTTTGTATTTCTTTATTACTCCTTTGTCTCACACCTCTGCTCACTGTTTCTATTATGCTTTTCTTGTACTTTCTTCTCTTGCTTCGCGTGCTACACGGAATGTGGCGACTTGAACTTCCGCACATTTGTGCAAAGTTCTATGTCGAAAACAGACAGACAGAGATGGTGATCATTCCTGAGCGATAGTCAACATGAATTGTTCTTCCTGATATGTATTTCTATATTTTATGATATTAATGAGGTTTACCGTTTTTATTACAGTGTTATTCCTACGAATTCTGAGTGGAACATGGGGACTTAGCAACACACCTCCATTTCACTCTATCCTGTCTTTCTCGTTCTTTCTCCTCAGGAATTTTAGCTGGTTCTACGATTGCTTTTAAGCATTTATTCACTTCTTATCGTCTCTCAGACGCCAAACTCATAGTTTTCTGTTCACTTCCAATTAAGGGCCTACCTGTTATGTGATGTCACTACCCAACCGACAGTCTTCTCAGCGTATGTGTCCGACCAATCTGTATTTTCTTCGACATATTTGTTGAGTAATAAGGTTCTTGTCAAAGTACCTTTTTTATCATCTTTTTTATGACTTTTTAGAACATTGTATATAACTGAATAGCGCTGAAGTTACGGCAAAAGGATATTCTTTGCTGAACATTATCGTATCGATAACTTTATTATCAGGTTCTACAGTTATATGCATCCGTATTAGTGAATGAATTAGTATTATTAACAACATTAATGTTGTTTAAATAACATGCAATCAATAATAATAATAATAACACTATCAGTGGTTTACAGTTCGATAACATCAACAATAACAATACATACTGAATATCAGAGAAATTAGGAAAGATAATAATACAGCATTCATGAATTTATAGTCTCCACTGAAGGCAAGGTCAGTAGACGTGACTTGACTTGTTTCTTCTGCACACAGAGCACCGGTTGTTTCAAGCGAATCGCCATAGCCTCTGCTCTTTGGAGCATGAGGTACCCGGATGTTTTCAGCAATTTGTTTGCTGCCCGATAGATGATGGAGAAGGACTCTTCAATAATGGCTTTGTGGCCGGTTTCAACCAGGTATTATAGTGTGAAGCTATTGATTTTTCTAACTACACTTTTATTCAACCACGCTGATAGATGTCCCCAAGGGAGCGTGACAAATCAAGTTCTTGGAGTAACGGTCAATATAAGAAGCTCTACCACAAGCGCAGTTAAATTGGTAGATAAAATTAGAAGTGGATGGTCTCGGTACTTCATCTTTCAACTGGGGAATCCCCACAGGCCGTGTTTTTAATAACATTAATCCATTCACTATTATATATACATATATGTATATGTATGCATTCAAATACTCACCTGTTCCATTGTTGGTATCCATAGTACTTGTTTCGCTTGAGATATTGTTGAAATAAGAATTGTTTTCAATCGAGTAAATAAAGCATGATTTGTAGGCAAACGGAATGGTTTTTCATAGGTAGATGATTTCTCAGCATTTTTACGAGACTAAAAGGAATAAGGGGAATAGATGATACACGTATATATATACACGTATAAGAGAAATTTAAGATTCCGTGAATATATTTACCACGGAATAATAATATAATAATTCCAAAGTACTAGCATGAAATGATAGTATGGTGAGAGCTGTCTGCTAACCAAACAAGCAATCACAGCAGACTTAGCGTAGACGGATAGGATTCGCAGATATATCAACGGACTGTCTAAGAAACGGCACCAAAGAGATGGTGGAATAACCTTCATCAGGAAAACAACCAATCAGAAGACGTTGCTTCTCTGCTAACATTAACGCTAATAATAATATGCGTAAAAATCTATAAATATCTGTTGCTTTTCTGAATAAACGACCTGTTGCCTGCCTGGTCGTTATCTTCTGTTGTTACGGTAGTAAGTGGAGGTAAACGGAATTCCACAAAGTTTACATAAAACCAACCGACTACCAACAAACAAGATAGAGAATTAAATGGAGTCGCTCCTTGTAAACACAAATCGCAAGAATACAATCCATCTTAGCTGCCAGTTAGATATGACTAAAGAAACAAAGTACAGAGGGTGTTATTGTGAGATATTTTCAAGTTAGGTCATGAGTTGACATCAGTTAGAGAACCACTGAGAGAACCGACAAGGAGTACTGGACAACTGTTTCGTACTAGTTTGCGACTCTTCAGCAATATGCACTCACTGAGGTTCGAACCGAAGAAAGTACATCAATGAGCTATTGGGACCCAATCCAATGTTATGCGTGAATGCTAGGTAAAGAGGGGAAATCAATAGACGAGGCTGTGAAGTTACATTGAGTGAGATGGTTAGGACATGTGTTACGCACGCTAGCCATCGATCGCCTCCCTCGAATGACGGGCAATGTTAGCTGACATAGGGTGAAGTTAGAAAAGAAGAGAGCTAGTAGTGATCAAACCATAACATGGCCTCATCAGTCAATGAAATCCACAACAGTTAAAGTCACGTAGAAAGGTGTAGACTTGCTGGTTGGGGTCCTCGGGAAGGTAAACACCAATAGCTGGAGATAATTGGTGATATGGCTCAAAATTGTTCTCAATGACACAGTTCTTGTGACTTATAATATCCAATAAAACTATGTGGTTATTCGGTATTACTATTCTTTTTGCTTCACACCTCTGTTTACTGTCTCTATTTTGCATTTCTTCTCACTTTATTCTCTTCCTTTGTGTGCTACATGGAGGGAGTGTGGCGAATTGAACTGCTGTACATCGGTGCAAAGTTCTATGATCCATGGAATTCAGACTTCTGTCAATTTTCTTTATACAAATAACGCAACCCCACGGCCAATGTCATAGGCGAGCAAGTGATCTCTTGCCTAGATTTGTGGACCCCCGTTGGTGATGGCCTCTCACTAGAACTTCAGGTAACTCTAGGTGTATGCAGCCAGTCACTAGTGAACATCAGATTAATTTTCACGTGTTGATTTGCAGAAATTTAATATTTTCAAGACAATGACAGCATTTTAACCTTTAACGTATATTCTCTTTAACACAAATAACTGTGAGGAATTTATCTACAGAAAGTCTGATACATAATTTAATAGTGAATACCAACTTTGCATCAGATGCGTGGTCCTTAGTGCTTTATTTACACCCAGTATGTCAATGGTTCGAATCCTGTCAGATCCCATCCCGGTTGAGGCGACCATAAAAATATGACTCAAGAGTGAAGGAGTTTGAAAAATTTGTTCCGACCAAACATTTTAGTCGTTGAAACGGTAGTATTCCGAATGAAAACGATGTTACGTTAAAGATGTCTATCAGTTAGCATTCATATAACGGGCCAAAATTAAAGCTTAGACGCCCAACAGGCGCAAATGTAGAGGTAATACCTTAAAACGTTCTGTCTGGGTAAAACAGTGAAACTAGGTAAATAACACCTACATTCATGAAAAAAGTGTGTTGAATGAAGTCCACGATATCTGAATGGTTTTAGGTAAGGGAAAGATTAAGGTTAGAGTGAGGCTAGGAACATGTTATGGTTGGATTAACCCAATTAGAGATATTAGGGTTAGGTTAAGTGAGGGAAGGGACACGAAATTCCTGGTTCCTAAGTCAACAGTGGGTGGTATCAGCTCTAACCGCCACAGTAAAATAAGTAGTAAATGAAGAAGATAATGACATTAATCAATACTGTTCGAAGAACAAGTATACAAACAGCGTAGGACAATAAACTACAAGTAAACCATTTAGATCACGGCGTTTAGACTGTTGAGATTTAGATTAATTTCAATGCAAATTTTGTCATGAACTAACATCACTCACTGCAGAATGCAGGTACATCCATATGACGAGTTTCAAATAGGACGATTCCACTGCTAGTCACGACCACCCACCAATTAACTTATAACAACAGTTCAGCTAGAGAGATCATTGAAAACAAGAAAGGATTGGACAGAACTTGGAATTAACACGGCATTGAATTCCGGTGCAGGAGTGGTTAAGTGGTCAACAAGGTTGGATTGAGAACCTAAGTGTCCAGAGTTCGACATCTGATGCTGTCATGGGTGCGTACTGCTAATGAGCAGTCCTAAACTAGGACGAAACAACTGTTCAGTGTGCTCCCTGGTTTTCACTCTCTAATGTCTCTAATTGATTTTAGTTCATGAGAAAATCTATACTGAAAGTGAAATATTTATCTACAAGATTGTCATTGATATCGTCAAACCGTGATTTCTGCTAGACTTTAGACCTCTAGTCAAAAGACAGACAACAATGAACAATACAAATGTTAACTATTCGATAAAAATCTACAGTATATGTATGCTTACACTAGACTTTTCTTTCATTTTAATCTTATCCTATAATAAAACAAAATTAGACATGTATAGTGTATATCTCAGATTGATACATAAACACAGATTCACCAGTTGAAACAAAATAACACTGTTACTGTCGGCTATTTCAGTTCATCGAATGCCATATTTAAGTATTGGTTTGTAGGGATTTCGTTGATTGGTTACATGATTTCATCATGAGCTGACATCAGTTAGAGAACCATTGGAAAACCTGGGAGTACTGGACAGCTGTTTCGTCCTAGTTTTCGACTCTTCATCAGCACGCACCCACCGGGATTCGAAACCAGGACATTCCGGCTACAAGGCGAGCTCGTATACCATTAAGCCACTGGGACCCGATCCAATGGTCCTTGAATTCTAACTTCTGCCAATTCACGATATAGTGCGACCCCAGCCAATGTCTTTGGCGAGTATTTGTCCTCACACCCAACCTGCTGCACCCTACTGATCACGACTTCCCACTGGAACCCAAGGTAAATACCTACCTGAATAGGGCCAGTCGCCAGTGAGCATCTCATTGATATTCAAGTATATTTCTTGACTTAAAGGAGGTATTCCACTCTGTCGTCAATCTAGAGGCATATTATGACAAACTTTACCCATGAGGGGAATGCCAAGAAAATACATCCAACTAATCAAGGCAATCTACTCGAATTCACGCAACCGTGTAAGAGTTTACAGTCAGTTGTTATCTGAAATGATAACAGCTAGTGGTGTCAGTCAGCTATGCCTACTGGCCCAAATTTTTGTTTAATTTCATCATTGATGTGCTAATGGAAATAACTCTGACTTCAGCGACTTAGGGAATGGCTTGTTACCACGACATTGTCTCGTGAAATTAGATTATGCAGATAATATAGTCGACCTAGGTGAAAGTGCTGATAAAAATCCAGGGTGTTCTGAACACCTTAAAAGAAGAAATCTTTGGGTTTTAGGCATGTTATTCACCTCCTGTCAAATGTAAGGTGATTCTACAGGACTGGACTGCATTGACTCGGAGCTTGAATACAGGGAGTGAAGTGGTTAAGCGTGTTGACCACGCTTTTGAGACACGGCTATTGAAAGTGGAAGACATGAAAAGGCTGGCTGCCTTTGACCATAGGTATCTGCGATCTATCTGACATATTAGGTGGGGGTGTATTTGGGTTAATAAGGAGGGGAGGTTAATCTATGAAGTTGTGACGCTACATCGATCGACATGGTTAGGTCAACCACTGTTTTCCTCAATGAGGAATATTAGCTGACATAGGATCAGGCTGGAAAAGAACTAGTGGTGGTCAAACCAAAACATGGAATCACTCCATGAAATCCTTAACAGTTGGTTTGAGCCTACGAAGCAGGAAAGTGTAGACTACCTAGTTGTGGTTCTCAGGATTATAAGAATCAATGTCTGGAGATAATCGGTGATATGGCTCAAAATCGTTTTCAATGGCTGAGATCCATTTACGATTCATGACCTGTCGTATCCATCAAACCGTGATGCTTTCCCATGTTACTAGTCCATCTCCATCGCATTACTACTTAATTATAGATCTTCTGAATCTTATATATTCTCTCATTTGTCTTTGCTTGTGTGATACATGGAATGTGGTAATTTGAGCTTCTACACTTCTATGCAAACTTCTATGTTGAAACGATTAATTTAGTCATTCAAGTTGACGATTTTTCTGCCTATATAGCAGTTCAAACATACACAGCAATGTTCGAACAATAGTCCCATCGAATTATTCATGATACATTGAAAGGACTTATGCTTAGAATTATGTGGACATATCACCAGTATTTTCCCCTCCCCCACTATAGACACTGATATTTTATCCCTATTGGACGAGACGAATAGTAATATCGCATAACATACTAAATGCTACTGATATTAGGATAAGAGTATAAGTGGAGTGGGTGAATACCAAACAAGTCTTTTGTATCCACACTAGGACTCTTTTTGTCCTTGACAGGGGAAAATACAACAACAATTGTAGCTTTAATATTCAAGTGTTGGTTTGTAGGGATTTGATTGGTTTCAGGATTTCATCATGAGCTGACATTAGTTAGAGAACCATTGGAAAACCTGGGAGTACTGGACAGCTGTTTCGTCCTAGTTTTCGACTCTTCAGCAGTACGCACCCACCGAGATTCGAACCCAGGACCTTCTGGTTACAAAGGCTAGCGAGCTCGTAGACCATTAAGCCACTGAGACCCGATCCAATAGCCCATGAATTCTAATTTCTGCCAATTCACGATTTAGCGCAACGACTAGCCAATGTCTTCGGTGAGCATTTGTCCTCACACCCAACCTGCTGCACCTCTTGCATCTTCGAAGTAACCTTAGTTAACAAAAGAGATTTACCATATATATCAGACTGTTAGCGACACTTCTATCGTAGGAAGATAGATGAAACAATAGGTGACACAGGATTCGAACCCAGAACCCAATGGATGGAGCAATCACATGCTGAGAGATCAACCAATCAAAGTCTCTAAGCATTTCACAGTAAACAACGACAACAACAGTGAATAACAATAACAATGAATAGTACCTTAAGAGGTGGAACCATTCGTTCTAGTACTTCACAAGTGAATTTGACCCGTTCTAAATCAATAGGACATGATTCAACAGGTTCAAGTCCATAACGTATAAGCGTATCAAGATAATTATCAATCTCTTTAGGGCCAGGTCTAAATAAAAAAGGAGAGAAAAAAAAGGAAGAAATGAATATTCATCACATATAATAATGATAATGTAGTGAGGAAAAAGACCCAAAGATGTAATATCCGTTTACCCAGTTTCCAACGGTCAACGACTAGGAAATTTGTATCTCCACACTAGTTTCAGATCACAATGATACTTTGGCACAAAAAGCTCGACCTCTGAAGTTTCACCGACAACGTCGTTGACTCTCAAAGCTCTGACTGATGTATCCTCCCATCATGATCTACCAGAAACCATAGTTACAGACAACGGTTTGCAGTTTACTTCTCATCATCAATTTCAGCAGTACTGTAGTCAAAACGCTATCAAGCACTTGTTCTCACCACCGTAACATCCTCAAACGGTCAAGCAGAACGTTTTGTCGACACCTTGAAGAGAGCTCTAGTCAAATTAGAGGGAGAGGGGACACCATTTGACATTATCCAAAAATTTTTAATGGTGTAACCTTGGAATAAAGGTTACATCGCAGCACGGCGTGAAAGTTGGTAATGACTTATGGACCCGTCATTACAACCAGTTGCGTCCAAGATGCTCAGATATTCCTACAAGTACAAAGTTAACTCTACCTCTGGATATACTCCTAGGCACTTTTAACCTACCCACAACCGACATAACAGAAAAGCGAAATTGCGCAGCTCAAACAACTCCTGACAAAGCAGAAGCTGCAAACCCGACAAGTAGACGAAGCAAACGCAACGTGTGCAGATAAACCCTAAGATAGCACGCTGTTAATCATTAATCTTCTCAAAAGGGGAGGTGATATATAGTCACATGATGTATGTTTTGTTTTTGCCAGTCTGATATATTTTGCTATATGTCTATTGACCGTTATCCCATTATAACTCACAATATATCTTGTCTGTCTATTAACTAAATAAACAAAGATGACCTTTGTCACGTGACATTACGACCAATCAGAATCTAGTTGGTGGTAAGATAAACTAACTATCTGTCTTATTGGTTCATGTAAGTTAGTTATTTTCTTTATACTCTTGTACAATTAATTGACTCTTTCATACCTTTCCACTCACACTCTTGTGTGATAGTTAATTTCCTTTGTTGGAAATCACACGTATCCATGTGTGAACGTGGGGGTCTTCTGATCTTCCTCTTCGGGTTACGGCAAATTAGCTACTAAGTAGTACTAGTCTTAACGTTATCGTCCGTTATATCTTGTTAGTCATATTTACACTCAGTCACACCATAACACTAGCCTCATGTCCAACCTTCCGTCATTAGCGGGTTCATTAACCCACTAGGCAAGGACTTCGACAGTGAGTCAGTCGATAATTGAACCCGCACCATGCAAAGCGTCATGGTTAGCGAGCAATCTACCACTGAACCGTCGCCACACAAAAAGGTATGATATTCTATAATTAAATGGAGTCGAAAAATGTCTTGTGAGAAGAGATAACACCTGAAGTAATTTTAGCCATCATCTTTTTATAATGTCTGTCTCTGTCTGTCTGGATTCAACATAGAACTTGGCACCGAAGTGCAGCAGTTCGAGTTGCCACGCTTTTTATAATGACAAGTAACAGGAAGGCTAGACACACCGCTCGTCGAGGAAGGCGATGGCTGTGAACGAGCAACGCATGTCCCAGCCATCTCAATCGATGTAGCTTCCCAACCTCGTCGATTGACTTTTCCTCCTTACCTAACACTCGACACTCTACCTCAATATTTCTAACCCTATTATACCCACCTGCCACGGTGGATGGAGTGCAGATATCTCGAGAAAGACATCTTTCACAATGGCTATGTATTGCATTCACGAAGGAGGACAATGAGAAATGGTACACGCTACACACGTCCTTTGATCGATAAATAGACATCACAAACATCTCTTCTAAATTTTCTCTTTCACGTCAGTTTTTACTGGTCTTCCATTCTGATTCGACAAGGCTTGACATAGGAGTGCAGTCTCACCGTCTGTAGCCTGGATATGTGCCCACTGTTCTCTACTTAAGCCTACCAAAGAAATAGTATAAATATCAATTTTCTCGCAGGACCGGTAGTCGCCGTGTGGTCTGAAGGAACGTCTGGATAACGTATCAACATTGGCATATCGCTTGCCAGGACGGTGCACACATTCAAAATCGTATTCCTGCCCTCTTGTGATCTGTCCTTTAAGGATTTTGAAGTTTTGCAACGACTAAAGGGCTCTGTGATCTGTTCTCAGCACAAACGGTTTACCAAGGAAATATTTGCAAATGAAGGAAACAGCAACCAACATCTCTTTCCTAGTGATGCAATAGTTCTTTTCTGCATGACTCAATGTTCGGCTGCCATATTCTATAACACGTTGTTTCCCGTCTCTACCAATCTGGGATAATACGGCTCTAATAGATGTGTGGCTAGCGTCCATGTCCAAGATGTACTTACCAGATGTTGTGGGGACGTATCTGGGAACGCTAAAGTAGGCGCAGAGGAGAACGAATCTTTCAATTGCTGAAAAGCCTGACCACAATCCTCCAAGCATACAAAGGGAGTATTTTTGCTAGTCAATCCTGTCAAATGGCTAGCGATTTCCGAATAGTTTCTCAAAAAACGGCGGTAATAGGAAGCTAACCCCAGAAGACTATGTAACTTATTCGTGGACTGTGGTACGGGCCACTCTTTAGCTGCTGCGACTTCCTCTGGGTCGCTATGAACGCCATGTGCGCGGACAACGTGCCCCAGGAAGATGACTTCCGTTCTGAATAGACGACGTCTAGTGGTTTAAACCTTGAGTCACACCTCTTTTAAACGTCCCATGATCATTCCCAGTCATTCAAAGTGTTCTTTGATGGTATGACTGAACACTAATATTGTCTAAATATACCATGCAAACTTGTGGAACTAGTCTTTTAAGTACCGTACGCATCAACCTTTGAAACATTGCTGGTGCATTACTTAAAACGAAAGGCATATTCTGGAATTCGTACAACCTGGTGGGTTTAGTATGAGCAGTTTTATTCTGGTCACGAGGGTGCACTCCGACCCGCCAATATCCGGACGCTAAATCAAGTGTTGAAACCCAGACGGCGCCTGATAGTGCTTCTAACGTCTTGTCTACTCTCGATAAGAGGTAAGCATCTTTCTGCGTTAGTCCGTTTAACTTCTTGTAATCAACACACAAGTTGAGGGATCCGTTTTTCTTTTTAACTAGCACTATAGGAGAAGCCCACGCTGAATTTGATGGCGTAATTATCTTTTTCTGCAACACTTCTCCAATCATACCTCCGAGTTGTTGGAGGAACTTAGATGGAATTCGGCGAGGTGCTTGTCTTATTGGGGCAAAATTACCAGTCCCAATAGTATGCTGGGTAGCTATTGTTCTCCCCAGGTCAGCCAGTGACCATGGGACCACCTCAGAGAATTATAAAATTAGCTGGCACACGGTCTCTTTGAGTTCTCCAGGAACTTGTGCTAACATGTTTTCCATCAGGGTAGTATCAACTGTATTCACACTCAACTGTAGATACATGGTACCACTATCTGACTCGAAAAGTATTGTAGGACCTAATAGAGTCAGCGTTTGAGTATCAATATCGATTGTGGCCTTAAAACTGCGTAGGATATAATAGCATTGATTTAAACGAGTTTGGTAGGCTCAACTAAATCAATGCTAAATACGAAGAACTTGAAATCTGCCGATATTAATTGCACTCTTGACCAAGAAGACAATACCATAGTTCCACCGGAGAAGTCACCAACCCCACCGACAGCGTCGACCTCAACGCCTGCATATGACATGATTCGAGTATGGTCGCAGCATTCGGAATAGCTTTGACGACTACTGACACAAGACCACAGTCCTCAAGTAACAAACCCAAGGAAAAATTCCCCGCACCAGAAAAGTTTGTCTCAGCGGAACTGTTCACCTTATGGGAAGAACAATGTCGGCGCTATATTCAACAGTTCGACGAAGATCAAAGAGCTAGTGCTATTATTTGTTCGTTATCGATACCTGCACTGAAACGCCTCGAGTTGGCTGGGGTTAACATCGAAGAGACGGTGGAGATAGAGGAGCTGTTTACGGTCATGTGTCGAGCATTTGCGCCGCACACCCATGTTCTCGGACAGCGGGCTACCTTTCATGCATGTGACCAACGCGGCAGCGACAGTACAGAGGAATACCTCCGGCGCCTACAAGAGCTGGCTCCTGTGGCTTTTGAAGGAAGAAGGTTTGTTCACCGATGAAGTGAGGAAACGCGTCACCGAAAGTTACCCTACGTCGCCTGTAGAAGCACTTCAGATCACCAAACAGAAGGAATCCCTCATAAAGCTTCGTAGAATGGATAGGAAGTATAAGAATTGAACATTGTGTCAACAAGAGTAAAATCATACTAATCAATTTACTTACTTTACAATCATTTTAATAATAATTAGCATAGATTTCGCATCTTCTGTGCTTTCTTTATCTTTCCCACTAGCTGATTTAATAAATCGTTGCCATAGATAATCAATCAGCGTAATATCCAATTGATTAGATGAAATTAATTGTTGAATGACACGTTCCATACTGACTAAATCACCCATTTCTGAATTACGTACAAAATTGCTTAAATTTGTTGCAATTAAATCAGCACCTTCAATGGTTAAATTACCATTTGATTGATAAAATTCTTCTGAATCTGGTTGTAAATATAATTTTCTAGCAAAATAATATAAGAGATAAAGGAGGGTAATTTATAAATGAATGTTTGGCTGTTTTCTTTATATTTTTTTCCCTTAAAGATTTCAACAATACTAAAAGTGATGCACATACATTTTAGAAACTATCAGCTAACAACGGACAGGACAGGACAGAGAGAGCTAGTTAACGGAGTCTTTAAAAAAGTCGAAATAACAAGCCCGTATTTCACCAGCCTTGAGTGAAACACTAAAAACTGTCGCCACGGTGACACACACACACACCTAGGTTATAAGGCTTACCAAAGATTCCAAATAAAACCGCTTGCCACTTGGACCAATCCTCGATATGTATAGATAACCATACCATTCAAGTGAGCAATGGTTGGTGGAACTTTTACAGCAGTTGAATGAGAAACTTTTTAAAAATAGCGTAAAGATAATTTTCAGTTGATAGAAAGAATCAAGGAATTAAATGTGAAGGATAAATACATGATATCACTGGATGTATCTTCCTTATTCGCCAGTGTACCTTCGATGGAAACAATTGATTACATAGTATTCAAGTGTTGGTTTGTACGGATTTGATTGGTTAACAGGATTTTCATCATGAGCTGACATTAGTTAGAGAACCATTGGAAAACCTGGGAGTACTGGACAGCTGTTTCATCAGTCTAGTTTGGGACTCTTCAGCAGTACGCACCCACCGAGATTCGAACCCAGGACCTTATCGTTACAAGGCGAGCTCGTATACCAACACTTGAATATCAATGAGAAGCTCACCAGCGACCGGCTCTATTAAGGTAGGTAGTTACCTGGGGTACTAGTGAGAAGTCGTGACCAATAGGGTGCAGCAGGTCGGGTGTGAGGACAAATACTCACCGAAGACATTGGCTGGGGTCGCACTATGTCGTGAATGGCAGAAGTTAGAATTCATGCACTGGCCATTGGGTCGGGTCCCAGTGGTTTAATGGTATACGAGCTCGCTCGCCTTGTAACGAGAAGGTCCTGGGCTCGAACCCCGTTCTGTGGGTGCGTACTGATGAAGAGTCGCAAACTAGGACGAAGTAGCTGTCCAGTACTCCCAGGTTTTCCAATGCTTCTCTAACTAATGTCAGCTCATGATGAAAATCCTGATTACATAGGTAATTTGGTAAAGTCATACATAGAGATTGGAATTCCTGTGTATTCCCTAAAGGAATTTCTTCTAAGGTGTACAATGAACGTAGATTTCCTGTTCAATAAAAAATGGGTCGACAATCAGATGGTGTTGCCATGGGATCACCACTAGGTCTATTTCTCAGCAGATTTTTTCCTGCCGAAAGTATAGAATGATCCTCTGAAGAAGAAGTAATATATAATATTGATTTCTATTGCCGACATGTTGATGATACTTTATAGTTATGAAGAAAGAAAGTGAGGCTAAGAATATATTGGATGAATTCAATACGGCACCTCTCAGCAAAAGCTTCACTGAGGAAGAAGAAAAGAATGACTTTATCCCCTGTTTGGACATTCTAATCACTAAACTAACAGACAGAACAAAATATCAACGTTTGTATAGAAAACCTATAGAAATGCAAAAGACTAACATCAATAGTAATAGTTATAATAACTAATAGTGTTGAAGTGAGTTAAGATAATGCTACTGATGAAGGATAGTTTTAAATGAATCAAGAATAATAATAACAATAAGAGGTCGAATAATAAGTAAAACGTATTACCATGGTAGATTCACAGTCACGATCATCTCCTTTAGTACACAGAGCCCTGGTTTATAAACTCGAATTGCACAAGCCTCTGCAATTGCAAGCATTTTCTTCTTTCTTTGTCTGCTGACAATAGTGAATGACTTGACAGCGTCGATATCATGTCCTTAGTCCACAAGATGTTTTGTTATTGAAGATTTTGGCACTTTGCACTCAGCTGTTTTCAACCATTTTGGCGAATGCTCCATCATGCGAGTAGACAATCGCCTTTCTGTACGACCTATGTATTTGCTTCCCCAAACACACTCAAATTGATATACACAGTTTGAAGTGTTCAGGATTGGCGACTGGTCTTTCCCAGATTGTTGAAGCACTCGCTTAGTGGTGTTAAGGATAACAAGTTTTGCAGTATAATAAGTTCTCTTCATGGCTTTATCGAGTCTTCATTTGACCACTTCCTGTACAAACTGATATAGACAGGTTACTTCAGAACTGTTTGGATTGTTTTTCCGCGGCCAATTTCTCTAGAGTATTTATTAATAAACTTCTCAGGATATCCATCCTTAGATAAAATATCCTCTAGAGATTTTATTCCATGCTCAATTGTACTGTCAGAACAAATTTTCCGTGATCTATTGAACAGTGTTCTGACTAAGTTCTTTTTATACTGGATTGGAACAAAACTCTTGAAATGCACTAACTGTACTGTCCATGAAGACTTTCTAAATATAGATTTTTCGACTGTGCCGTCATTCATTTTGGCTAGAAAAACGTCTAGGCATTTATTAGTATCGTTTTCCTCATGTTCTACTGTGAAATTGAGATTTGGATGGCGTGAGTTGAATTTTATCAACATGTCTTCAGCTTTTGATCTGCTTCCACAGACAATAAAAATGTCATCAACATATCTTAGGTAGATATCCGTTTCTTGTATATGTTGCTGTAAGGTACCGGCTTCTAGGCCTGACAAGAATAAGTCTGCGAAAAGTGATCCCAAAGGGCTTCCCATTGCGACACCATCAACTTGACCCAATAAACGCTCGTAGAATTGGAGTTGGACATTTTTAGTACATTTGGTAACAATTTCCTCAATTCCCATGTTGGAATGGGTATGTCTTCAGCTTCTTTACATACGAAGTCAATAGTCTCAACGACTGGCACATTTGTGAAGAGAGAGGTAACATCGAAAGAGACCAGATTCTTATCAGATACATTGAAATTTTTAATTTGCTTGACAAACTGAAATTAATCAGAAACTATATATGTTCCAAAACGTTTTCGTAAAGGCTTCAACAATTCACATAGCCACTGTGCTAATTTGTGGTATGGTGAGTTTATCATAGAGAGTATAGGTCTTAACGGCGGTCCTGGTTTGTGTATTTTAACGCGTCCGTATAATTTTGGGATTTGTGACCCAATCGGTTTGATATTCCTATATGTATTTTCATCAATGTACTTCTTTTTGAAGAGTTGTCGTAGATGCTGCACAATTTTCTTTTCAGTCGATAACGTTTGATCTTTTGCATGATTATCCAATTTGAATTTAGATTCATCAGAGAGAATTTGATGCATTTTCTCGAGATAATCTATCTTATTCATTAGTACTACACTTTGTCCTTTATCAGCTTTTAAAATAACAAGATTTTTGTCTTTTCGGAGTTTGTTTAGAGATCGCCAGTGTTTTTTGGTGATATGCAACTTTTGATTGGTCGGCATGAAAAAGATAAAGCAAATTGATATCGAATATCAATTCGAAAGTCTTTATGACTAACTTATGGGGCTACACACTACGTCCAAAGACAGCGAAAGCTGGTCGATATTGCTCATCAAATTCAAATCATGCCGACCAATCAAAAGTTGCATATCACCAAAGAACACTGGAGATCTCTAAACAAGCTCCAAAAAGAAATTATCTTGTTATTTTACAAGTTGATAGCTTGTTTCAATACAACGATGTCTTAAAAGCGTTCGGAAGAAAAGAGAAAAGACAGAGTTGATAGGCAATGCAATTGTCCACTGATTGGCAGTCAGTTATATTGCACATGTCACATATTACGCTAAACGGTAAGCATGAGATGGCCACCTTTGTGATATATACATACTGGGAACACTATCATAAGGAAATCCCTTAAAAGGTAGATGTAAATTTCTAAATGGAATGGGATAAGTTTTCGACTACTTCAGTATTCAACATCTTTAACTCAGGAGGAGTGAACGCAGATCACTTGATAAATAAATAGCTGAAAGTGTGAAGGTATGTAGATATTATGTTAACGTCAATTATCACAGTGGGAATAAGTTGGAAGGAAAAAAGCCTCAGCGTACTTAAGGTTTAGACTTCCTAATTGAGATGCACAAAGTTTGTGATGACTGATCGCTGTGGGGATGTTACTCAACAGTTGATTATAGAAACACACATAAACCTACTCATTATTTCTCCGTAAATAATCGATGGGGTACTGTCTTGTTTCACTTTCTATACGAGTAGTCGCCAACCATTCACATGGTTCGGGGACTCGATTCGTGGCCGACTCACTACTCCTCCACCTCACCTACTAGCCAGTAGTAGCCAGCTCAGAAAAGAGAAAGGGTTGAGTCTGACGCTAGCAGTCACATTGAGTAAAAAATAATATCACCGCTACAGAAACACTAAAGCTCAAAGCCTGAAGCCCTTTATGTGTTCCCCATTCGGAGCATGAAGGAATAAGTGAATGATAAAGAAGTTTTCTTACTCCTTTCCCACAGTCAATTACAAGCAGACTTCTGTATTTCCCTCTCATTCAATGCTAAAGTGGCTAGTTTCATCGATAAAAAGCTTTTCAAGTCACAACCTAAGCCCACTGGAAGACTGATTATGTGTACATAAATGCACACATAGACTATTACTATTGTTCCCCTGGGTTCGGAGTGGAACACAGGGCTTCAACAACACATTTCCACTTTGTTTTATTCTCTGTTATCCTCTTCAGTAAGGTCCACGATTGACCATAATATCTAATCTCCTCCTCCCAACATGATCTCTTCCTCCATGTCACCCTCACATTGACGACCCACTCGTTGCTTCTCATTGGGATTCCATTCGACCGATGGCCTGGCTAGCTTGAGGTATCATTCGACGGCCTCTTCATCGTATACCCAATCCATTTCCATTTTCTTTTACATATTTTTTCAGCAATCGGATCTTGGTTGGTCTGTTGCGAATTCTAGGTATGCAGTGAACTTGAACTATATAAACCATATTTTTGTGCATTTCACATATATATATATATATATATATATATATATATATATCCAGTAACCAATTCAAAAAGAAGTAAGCTATAAGGTGATTATTGTAATCAAAAAGTAATTTAACTATTTGTTCTAATGATGCAAGAAATGATTTCTTGCTTGCTTGCGCAACATAATCTATGTTATCGACTACTTATTTTTACTTGATAAATCATTTATACAATTCTGTCAAGCTTTAGAAAAAACAACGCGACACAATGAACTCTCTTCCATCACCACAACCCGCAACTATACTGTCGAGAATAAACTGAATAGGAAAACCAGGAGGAGTGTGCATAAGACAGAATAAGTCACATACAACTCTTTCTCTATGCAATATTACAATATAGCGAAAATTCGCATTTAGAAGACAGGCAAGAAAAAAAGAAGGATGTGGCGAAGATTATTCTCTTCGATGACTTCCTTATCTGACTTTACAATTATAGTATGCCAACAGCTTCAAAGAACCCATTCGTTTTTAAAACTGTAGTTCTTTGGTGACAACATCAGTGAGATAATAACACCACAGAGAACACGACAAAATGCAGTTGGGTAGCTGAAGTTTTATTTCCCACCCACCCCCTTTGAAGTCAAGGGAATAATAATAATAATGCATGCGTAACAGCAGAGTAGGACGAGGAAGTTATTGTTCCATCTTTCTTTTGCATTCGATATCAGTCTAAGTTCTTCTACTAGAGATACAGTAAAGCCATTCAAAGTTATTAATGCTTCAAAAACACAATTTGTTGATCGTGATCACATCAAGTGTGTGTGTTCGTGAGTAATTGACTTTCTTTGCAAATAACATGACCTGCTGCTAAACAATGACATTTTAAATTGTAAAAATAAGCCCACTCTTAACAACAACAAAAAATCAATACACTTACTGACATGCTTCTACAACAGCTTTGCGTATACCTTCTTCTTGTGACCAAATTAATGCCAATAACAGACGAATACCTTGTTCTAAGCCTTTTATTCCAGCTTGTTTAGCCACAACAAAAAATTCAATTGCTTCTGTTACATCGGTTAGTGTTTTCGATGAAAGCATAGCTTGAAAATCTTTGATAGCAGTTTGAATATGTGATAAAAATGTTGATGTTTCTAATAAATAGGCAATACAAGCACGTTGACGTACAACTTCAGAGGAGATTTCTGTTTGTGCAGTACTTGCTAAGCATAAATGAGACGTTGAAAGGATATCATTATCCTCTCCATTAGCATTATTGTTATTGTTTTTATTTGAATTTATATTCCCTTCAGCAACAGCAGCCGCGGAATGAATAGCTTTTTCTAGTGCTGCTGCTGCATCCACCTCTGCTGTAGGACATAGTGTAACATCGGCATCCTTCTCCTCATCATCATCACTGCCTTCATCGGCTGTTTCCTCTTCGTCTTCTTCTTCAGCGTCGTCGTTGTCATCAGCATCATCATCATCACCATCCATATCAACAACATCGCCTTCAGGCTGCTCTTCCACCTCCTCCTCATCATCATCATCATCAGCTATATTTGATCGACGCGTTGGTGATTCATCTGAATCACTTAAACCTGTAGTAAGTTTAGTTTTCTTATTCTTTTTATGCATCTTTTTGTTCGACTTCCCCTTCTTCTTCTTCTTTTTCGTCGTCTTCTTTTGTATTTCAGATTTATTTTTCCCCTTAGCTTTATCATCAACATCATCGGCATCCCCATCGCCATCAACATTTGTAAGAGGATTTGTTAATGGTTCAGTAAGATCACTGGGTGTAACACCATCATTCTCATCGATTGTGTTTACCCTGGCTATGATTAAAATGCGGGGAGGAACAAAACAAAACAAGTTTTAAACAATTGATGAATACAAAAATTACTATTATTAGGATTAAGATTACCAAACTAACAGACAGCAAAGACACAACTTAGTTTTCGAAAATACCAACCCACCCAACAACACACACACATAAAGCAGTAACATCAGTTAATTATTATTATCACTATCATTACTATTACTACTCATACTATAGCTACCATTATATATTTATGCAGAAATAAAAATTGATGATAGTGATGAAACATGCTGTGAGAAGATATTTTTAGAGAAAAAAAGAAAATGCAAACAGCACATATATATACAGATAGATATATATATAGAGAGAGAGATAAGCAAAGTGAATGGTGATCAACGTTAATAATGATGATGTTGACGATGCTGACAACAGTTAGAGAACCACTGGAAAACCAGCTGGGAGTACTGGACAGCCAGCTGTTTCGTCAGTCTAGTTTGCGACTCTTCAGCAGTACGCACCCACCACAAGGGGTTCGAACCCAGTACCTTCTGGTTACAAGGCGAGCTAACTCGTAGACCATTAAGCCACTCACTGGAACCCGATCCACTGGTTCTTGAATTCGAACTTCTGCCAGTTCACGACATAGCGTGACCACTTCGCAATGTCTTCTTCGACGAGTTACTGCCCTATCTTCGACCCAGGTTTTCCAGTGATTCTCTAACTGATGTCAGCTCATGGTGAAATCATCCATACAATCAAACAAAATCCCTACAAACCAATGCTTGAAAAAAAAGTGTTTTTATTTATAAAAAAAAGATGCAAAGCATATATGATCTCTTTGCTTTTGTCAGTGGTTGACAAATAATCAGAATCATTGCGAAAAAAAGAAAATGAAATATTTTATGCAATATGACACAAACTAATCTGAACACGGATTACAGACAAACAGATAGACAGCTAGACAGACAAACAGATAGATAGATAGACAAACAGGCATTCACATTCACATTGACATCTGTATAGTACAGATGAATGAAGAAACAATAAATTACCCTGTTTAGCAGTTTTTCGCTTACTAACAGATTTACGATGTTCAGCTAGAAGAGTAAGAGAAAGATAATAATGACAAAGTTATGCGAGAAGAGGAATTCAGTCGACAGACAAACAAACAAAGAGGCAAGCAAGCAACCTAGCTAGCTAGCGAGCAAGCAAGTAAACAAGCGGTTAAAATTGGCTAGTGAAGGACGGAGTGGGGGCGGCATCTCCACCTTTATCTATTATTCTATGAGTCGAACACTAGGGCTAATAGAAGAGTGAGACAAGTACAGTGAGGTTTGAAACTAAAAGGTATATTCGTTAGGAACCACAGACAAACATGAAGATAAGTATCATTTGTTTAGGGAGTACTGGGCAGCTCATCAGTTTATGCACCACCACCCATGATCCCATCCCCAAGGGATCGAACACCTTCAGGTTACAAAAGCAAGCTCGTTGAACATTCACAACCACTGGGACAAAATCCAATGGCGCATGAATTCTAACTTCTGCCAATTCATGAGATACAGCACGAGACAGACAGGAAGTTTCAACAGTGATCAGTACACTTCTAAGGTATGTCATTTCACTAAGATGACATGAAGAAAAAATTTCAACCATTTATGTAAATAATTATAGATAACAATTGTAGGTGTTCTTTCTCCTAGTGCTTTGAGTGGGGAATATGGCTTCAAGCCCTTAAGTTTTACCACAGATTGTGTAGCTTTTACGAAGTAGTGTCGTTAGTGTCAAACCAAACCTTCCAACTTTTTCGGCCTCCCTTGCGGCAAATAAACTAGGCGAGGTTCAGGAGTGTGGCCAGTGCTGAATGGAAGCCAGGCCATGTACATGGTTGGCAACTAATCTACAATGAATATTAGGCAAAAGCAGGCGAAAAAAATTGATTCGTCAGGCAGCAACATCTTATTTGTGCTTCGATGGTCAAATCACGGGAGAGGTTGGAGTTTAATCACTCACTCCTAAGCCTCAATTAGTTTACTAGATAAATAGTAAGCCGGGAAGAGTGAGCATATTTGGCGTTAAAAGCGACACCAGAGCTACTAAATATTCAGAGCTTGAAGCCTTATGTTCCACTCAGAACGCAAAGAATAAAAAAATAAACAAAAACAAAACACCTCACTGTAATCAGATTAATCATGTTGATTACGGGCTAGTTAGACTAATTAGTTATTCAACATATAATCCAAGCAAAACAAAGAAACAACCAATCAGAGAGTAGAATAACGACAGTTATTAAGACCAAAAAACAACCAATGAGAGCAAAGAGATTAGAATACACACACACACAGGCAAATAAATAGAATGAAAAGTTCGAATAGGTGGAGACTGTTTTTTGTGACATTTTAGAAACAAAATAAACTCAAATTTTCAATGAGAACTTTTTCGTAGAGCGTTCAGATCGTCTTCCATGGTCTCTAGATTGGAAATGTTGCATATTTTATGACTCACAGAGCTGACCAGCTTCTGTTTTGTATACAGAGACATTCAACTGTAGAGGTTCGTAAGTTGTCTATTGCATGTCTGCTATCCTTAATTTTACTTTTATCATTTATTTTATTCCTTTACGTTCCCAATGGAACATAAGGCTTCAAGCTAGAGGATTGAAGTTCCTGTAGAAGTGGTGTCTATTTCTACAGGATGAGGTTGCTAGGCTTATGTCTAACTTCCCTCCCTACCAGTCTTATTACCGGCTTAGCAAGGTAAAGGAATGCTTCGTCGGTCGGGGATCGAACCCCGAACCACCTGCATGGTTGGCGAGCATTCCACCGCTGTGCCACCGACACACTCACCCTTAATTGGACCTTCAATAATCTACTGTCACATTTTGTGAGATGTGAGCTGGGCACTTCATTTCCAAATCAATGAAGCCTAAATCACTGAAACCGTATATACTTTCTGTCTCTTTAAAAAGCTTATCTATCTGAATCTGTATTTGGATGGCGACACGTCGACAAAATATAAATTCGAATCATATTACTTATTTATTTTCTCAGTAGCATAGCTTGATGGAGAAAATGAAATGAAGATAAGGCAATCATATAAACCATATTGCATCTTTATTAAAAATGACATCAACAATTTTTTGTCGACTTCAAGACTCAAAAGTACACAAAATAGGATATTCGGAACCCGTTGAGTTTATGTGTTCCTAAGACATAGAGAGAAGTGACTCAGTTGTGCTTGTTTTTTTTAATCGGATTACTGATTTTTTACACAATTTAAAATAAATACCTAAGACAAAGGTGGTTAACACGGGGGGAGATGACACTACGAAAACCTGATTACAAAATGCGAAGATGAAAACATTATTCAATATGATGAAGACGACGACAAAGATCTGAACTTTCAACGCTAATGTCAAGTCAGTACTTCTATATGATTCAGAGACTTGGCGCAGCACAATGCACGAGAGACATCTCTCTCCAACAGGCTACCAACTTTCATCAACAGCTGTCATTGTTCCACATTGGAGATCATAGGGTCAGCGATGAAGGTGAGCAACCAGGAGATCTAGAAACGAACCGGGCAACAAATATGCAGAGGGGAATTGAGATGGATTGGAGATACACTGAGGAAACCAATGAATGACACACCACAGGCCAGACAGACCATCTAGTGGACCATGAATAGGAAGTGACGAGTCAGGCATCCGAGGGTGACATAGAGGGGATCATGTGAAGAGAAAGTGAAAGCTTGTCGGCAGCTGTATAGTTGCAGATGAATATGAAGACAGAGAATTGAATACAAAGGAGATATGCTTCTGAAGCACTGTATTCCACTTGGAGCGTAGGTATACACAATATCGATTGATATGAATAGTTTGAAACCACTTGTTAGCCTGACATTTCGCTCGTCTCAGGGTGGAACTCTATGAAGTGAAGACGTTCCCCACGGTTCGACTCAGTTCAGAGAACCAAATCAGCTCAAACCATCCGAATTCTGGTCAACATCTAGGGTGAATTAGTAACGCATACAATCACACCTGTATAATTGTGTAATTTATAAGTGAAGAATTTCAATCCGTTCCACACTATAAAAATATTGACAACACTACAAGTATGAATTTTACCCATTTTACTCATTTATAAGCAAAACTGTATTGTTTGCTATACACTCTAATGAAGTCACTATAACTAAAGTACCTTGAGAACACAGTTGTGTGTGTGTGTGTGTACAGAAAGAGCTAGTAAATTCTTTTGTTCCGTTGTTGCCACTCAACTAACGCAGACATATTAATATGTATAAACCTCGGACAATGTAGAAATGCATATTACACACTATTATATATTTATTGGATATATCATACAGTGAAAGAGTATAATTAACTGAATGACGTTTAGAAAACAATTTATTCTTCCTTATTGTATCGATTCCAATTATGCAACTTTAAAACTTGATTTTTACCGTCCTCTTCCCTCTTTCCTACAGCATGAGTTCTCAAATAATTTTTTTTTGATTTACAGCTTGATTCCACACTGTATTTTCGGTACAAGTATGGAATTTTCAGCATGGATATCGGTAGCCCAAATTTTGCAGGCCGACCATAGATATCAGGTGTGCGTCGGTGTGGGCTCGAACCCCGGACCATGTGCATGGTCGGCGAGAGTCCTAACCGGCAATAAGGTGAGCAACATTGAGGTTAGGCGTAGAGTTCTAGGTAAACAGGGGAAATCAATCGACGAAGTCGTGAAGCTACATCGACTGAGATGGTTAGGACATGTGTTACGTATGCCAAGCCATCGCCTACCTCGACGAGCTATGTTAGCGGATATAGGGTCAGGCTGGAAAAAAGCTAGCGGCGGTCAAACAAAAACTTGGCATCAGTCAATGAAATCCACAACAGTTGGTCTAAGCCACGTAGAAAGGTGTAGACTTCCAGGCTGGGGTCCTCGGACGGTAAAAATCTATAGTTGGAAACAATTGGTGACATGGCTCAAAATCGTTCTCAGTGGCGTAGAT